CCCCCCCCCCCACCGCACACAGGGTCCTGTGTGGCTGAACTCATCAAATACCTGATCTTCATGGAGCACTAAGGTGGAAGGAGGTCATACTGATAGTGAAGAAGGTGTTTCTTCTTACAAGTTAAGAATTAAGGGAGTAGAAATGGCAAGGGACGGCAAATGAGCCAAGTCACTCTGGCCTGTCTCTAGGCTGAGAGGACTTCTCTCTAACCCCTTCAAGGTGCATCAAGGCCCCTAGGAAGATATTTCACCTGCCCTCTCCTTCCCTCCTGAAATGCTGTTTCTCCCCCTCTGCATACCCATCCTCTCTGCCGTCACTGTCACCATGTCACTTCCAAGTTGATCCTTTGATTTATCTGGGGCCTCTAAATTTTCCTGAGTCTCCTTTTCTCTGCTTCCCCCCACCACCCCTTTTTCTCAGCACCCTTCTTATCCTATCGGATACCTTCCTCTCCCCTCCACTCCTCTCACTTCCCTCAGGACCCATCTGTTCACTCTCCTCCTGACAGTTTACCCCACTTCCCCTCAGCTCACGCCTCCTCCCATCCTGAGTTCCTGTCTCTTCCCACCCTCCATCCTCATCCGACTCCCTGCAGTATGCTCACTCCTTTGTCCTGTCACCTCCCTACCTTCGGGTTACCTCCTCTGCTGTCAATTTACCCTCTTCAGCTCAGTGTCCCTCTCCCCTGTGTACTTCAAACTGTTCCACCAGTCACCTCCCTTCCTTCTCCTGAGTCCAGAGGAGCTCACATCTTGGCAGGATTTATCCACGTAAATAATTAAGCTACTGCGTTTGGCTGTGGTAAGTGCCAAGAAGAAATAATAAAGCAGAAAAGGCAAGGATTCTAGGGCAGGGATGATCTGAGCTACTTTATTCTGCATCTGTGCCAGGATCAAGGCAAGAAAGACCACAATGTGATAAGATGTAAAATAAAAAAACATATATTACGCTACTTTTTTTTAAAGGCAGGATTTATTAAGAGGACAGAAAAGTTCCCACAGTAGGAGAGGGCCCAAGGGAGTTGCATTTATGTTACATTTTATTAATATACATCTAAAGACCCTGCAGGACATTATGGACTTCTTCCCTAAATTCGCTCATGGGGGTTTCTCATGTTCCCTCTTCTCACAGCAGCCCCACTGCAGGTCCATGTCCCTTCACGGGCCTCACACTAACGTAATTAATTTAGTGACCTCAATCAACCCTCCCTATACTCCCTTTTGCAGGCCACATCATGTTTCCTGCTGCCAGCTTCTCTGCTGGTCCCTGTCCTCGGGCTGGCTTTTCCTCTCCTCTTCCCCACCACGCTTCTGGCCTCAGTTCCCCTTCCCTGGCTTCCCTCCATTCCGTTACACATTCCCCTCCCCAGCTCAACTCTGGAGTCAGTTCTTCCGCACAGCAGGGTTACAACTTCCTCATGGCCTCTCCTTTCTTCCCTCCCAAGCTCAAGGTGCCCTCTGCTCGTCCACCTTTCCCCGATCCCCCACGCAGGCTCCGCGTCCTTCTTCCTCTCCCTCCCCATCTCAGCTGCCTCTCTTCCAGACTTTCCCCAGGCCTTCCCGGGTGAAGGATCCCTTGTCCTGTCCCTGCCCCAGAAGCTCTGCCTCCTGCTCTTAGCTGCCAGGGCCTCGTATCCCTTTTACATTTTCCCTCCTTTTGGGGGTTCCAGGTGCTCCGTTCATCTACCCACTCTGTGCATGGCAGTTCCCTTACCATATATCTGATACACTTGCAGTCTTCTGACCTGGGTTCCCTTTGTCATCAGGCCCCGTTGAGCCTGTGAGGCTAGGTTCTCCTACCCTGAGCCACCCCTCCCTACACCTGCTCACTCTGTCTTTGCCCC